AACAAACGCATGATTGGGAAGTTACAGGAAGATGATCATTATTGAAATGAAACTGGAACTCATTTATAGCTAAAACCAGCAGCTGGTATGAAGTAAATGAATGCCTTCCTGTTTTTATTATTGCAGCCAGCTTTGTCAGTCAGTAGGAAAAATTGGACTAAATTGAACAAGCCCTTGCTTTTTTTTTATAAACTTGGTGAAACAATAGTCTGATGGCGTTAAAAGACACTTCCTCTTCATGTTTTTTTCTTGCTGTGCATTTAAATAAATGAAACAGCCTCCATTAAGTCCAAGCTATTTATCCATGTAATTCTTCAAATTTCTAAGTACTGTAGCTGGAAGGCTCCACTGTTTTACCTATCAGGAAGCCACTATCGTGATCAGGCCATATCAGTGCATAAATGAAGTTTTTCAGTGCCCTGTTCCCTCTACTACTTCCTAGCTCTCATTTAATACTAATTTGTGTCAAAATACTCAGCAGTGTAGGTGGAGCATAGATAAGCTTCAAGCAGTTAAGTATAATTAGACAAAGTAATAGCTAGCAGTGGCAATAAAGCTAGTTATTATCTCAAAGAAAGATACAGAGTTATCGTAATAACCAATAATGCTAGACTGGAATGCTGGTGTGGCATATGACTTTTTTGTAATCAGACCTTCAACAACATAACAAGTACCCATTTCAGTGTCAGATTTATAGTTAAAAATCATTTTTCCTTTGCTAGTTTCCTTTTTAGAATAGGAAAAATCACAATTAACATTTTAAGGCATCTACTGATGAGTTCCTATGCATGCCACAAAAGAGCAGCAAAAAGTACATATTTATTCACACTGTATATTAAATGCAGAGGTGAAAATGAACCTTCTTGGAGGAATTCATTAATGCCGAGTTTGAAACAGGAACAGCTGACAAAGTAGGTTAAGTCATCAAAACGCGAGCTGGAACAGCATGTGTCACAAGTGAAAAAATTCTACTGAAACTCAGCCATCAGTGCACTTTCAATTGTGGCAGGCAGGATTTATGTTTTCTGGTCACAACTGCAAAACCAAAAGGCATTTTATACTGCCACATTAACATCCACCACCCCAACTAAGACTGGCAATGCAGACCGTTAAAATTTTATCAATTGTGGCCTGATTAATTCCCCAGTACACTAAAATGACTTAAATATTTAGAATGTTTCTTCTTCTCTTATGACTTTAATGCATGTAAAGTAATAAGATTAACTCTGGTGCACTCAAATGTGTTTAAATATGTATCCATCCTTGAGCTGTCGGTTTCTCCTGCATGTAGAAATCATTGAGTGTATTTGGTCATGTCAGAACCTATTTGTAGGACCTGCTGTGGATATTGGCCTGTATATGATAACAGGATATCTGGTCCTTTCAGAGGTTGTCTGATCGCTTGCCTCATTTGCCATGGAATGTGATTCCCTGCCATTCTAGCTTCCTATTCATTCAGATTTTATTGCTGTGTAATTTTCTTATTCTAAAATAGAGCCTCTTCAGCAAAATTACTATGCATTAGGCTTACTTGAATGGATATTGATGAAGTTTATCTCTAAAACAATAGTAATGTATTTGATCACAGCAAAGGGTCTTATACAAAAATGTTTATATGTCATAAATGAAAAACTGTTAGATCTCTCTTAAAGCTGGCCTTAAATGAGGCATGGCTAAAATAATACAACACAATTAATTCCTCCTCCTGAAACATATATGAACTGACTATTTAATCGATCAACCTGTATACCTGCAAAGCAGTTTTTTCTTTGTTTTCTGCATTTTCCGTGTTTCACAAGTGATGTAAAATCAAAGGCTGTGCAGGTTCCTTAACGAATTCATTTACTTACATATGAAGGATAGAAGTTCACTGTAGCCCCAGAAAAAAAAAAGATACAGTTAATTTAATTTAACACACTGAGTTATGTTTCAAGACAAAGCTTCTTGTTTAGTATCTGCTTTGGGGAAAAAAAAACACACTGAATTAATACATAGCTATTAGCATGATGACAGATGCAAGGGTTAGAGTAAGGCAATAAAATATAACAATGAAGCATACTTGCTTTATTCTTTTCTTAGCAAATATTCTTCTGTAGTCATGACTTTAGCTTACTGTGGTTCCTCCTCTAATTATCCGTGAGGTCAGTAAGCAAAATTGGGAAGAAGCTAGGAGATCAATACAAATTATCCCTGAGCAAACCAGTGCTGACAGTTTGAATTGCAGCATATGTTTACCCAAAATCAGGCAATTTATCTTAATATCAGCAAAGTAATGCAGTGCAGGTGAAAGGTCAGACAATCTCTCCACCTCATAATTACCCAGTTCTAAAACAGGAAAGTGGTATTGATTGGATGGGCTCAGAGCTCTATGACTGGGACATGCCAGCGCCTCGCCCTGCCTCTGCTGGACTCTTGGCTTGTAAACTCAGCATGCCGAGGATTTATTGGATGTATGTGGAGGGTTTTATGTTTCCTCACTAGTGGTGAGCTCTGCCAGCGAGGTCTCCCCAGCTCCTCATTTTGTCAGGCGGCAGGGTGATAGATCTTATGTTGCTCAGCACTCAAAGGGCTCCAGGCCAGATCTGCTGGAAGTTCGAAGGAGGGGTGGGGACAAAAGTCAAGGTGGATTTAGCCTGTTATTAGTCAATCTGTTATGCATATTGCCCAGCTGCCGTCTGAGAGGCAGAAAGGCAAACCGAGTGCACCAACATCCCCCTCCCCCACCTCTGCAAACCCCAATTCAAAACCTCATGGTATTTTTTTGAGAGCCTGTCACCACTCTCCCTAATACAAAGAGATAGGTAATTTTATTGTAATTCCTAAATGCAAATCTGTTGGTACTTCCCATGTACAAAAGCATTAATAGTGATGCAAAGTCAAAAGGGTACATTCTTACATGCCCCTGCTGCCGTGCATGACTTTTTCCCTACCAAAAACATAAAAAAATGGTTATCTGTGATGAAGGTTTAGTTTTCCTGTTGTGCAATTTTATTTTTTTATAAAAAAATAAAAATGAGCACAACAAAAATTTAGAGTTTAAACGTACTCTATAAATAGCTTATATAAAAGACTACATTTTTGATTTATTTTCTCAATTTTGATATAACGATCACATGTAAGAAGTAACTGTTGAAAATGATGTCTTTGTCTCAAGAAGAAAGCGTGCTGTTATCACAAGTCATAATTCTTCTTAGAGGCTGCATTAAGGTTTCTATCACCTGTCAGAAGCATTTGCATGAAATCAATAGCAGTCGGCCATCTCTCTTATTCTGACCAAGTTTCATCAGACTAAGTTCATTAAGCCAAATAGTCACAATGATTAGCTCCTGAAAAGCTGAAAAAAATCAACATGTTGCAATGCACAGTGTATGGCACGTTGTTGCTGTGTAATCAAGGAATGTAATTCTTTATTTAATCCTTTTCTGAGCAAGTCATTTTCCAGGGCTACACTGGAGGAGGCTCATCTGTCCCTAGCACACAATGCTCTGTGCTTGACATATTTGTATAGACCCAGGCAGAGACATGACAAATTGTCCCGAAAGACAATGCTGACAGCCTCTGATGATTAATGGTCTGATTATGAAGTGGTTTTACACATATAGAATTTACATCACAGAGAGTTAGAAATTTGGACATGTCACAAAAGCTGAAGCAGTCTGTAGAGCTTTACTATTTGCACAGGGAAAAAAGAAGGGCGAAATCCCAGCAAAAGCCATGTCATGTAAAATCAATATGTCGGATCAATGCTTTATTAACAAGAAAATGTCTTACTTCACATTCCTATGTGGACCTTTGTCTCCGGGAAGCATGATGGAATGTCAAATCAAATTGCAGTCTTCAAGTTTCTGTTGTGTTGAGTGCATACATGTGTGCCCCCACCACGCATTGATTGCAAGATATACTGTCCATGTTTGCACAAATAATTGTGGCTCTTGATCATAAAGTCAACCAATTATTTTGGGGAACATTTTTTGAGTTGTGCGTCCCCAACCCTACAGTGCGCATGCTGTTAGCCTTCATGTTCACTAGCATTCAGCAAACCCACTGAGCTGTATGGTGTTAATCATGAAATTACATGCTGACTAATGAGTGATGGCCTAAATTGCAGGCTGAGTAATGAATAGATGGAGGCAGTTCTTATTAGTCTCAGAAAAGCCATTGATTTATGTAGCACCATGCACTGCAGAGTCACTCTGCTGAAAATGATATCTACATCAAGAAGTAATGTACTCTAATAAGTATTTTCTTCTCAACTCCAGTCCACAGGCCTCCAGGCTCAGTTTTTGTTTGAGTCAGGGAGAGCCATAATAAAGCCCTGTGACTCCTTATAAAGCTTGTTAAACACAATGTGTGCAGTCTAACCAAGTCAGGATTATGATTCATACACTGTACACAGCGGCATGTGCCACTGATTTATGGCCGAGTGCAGTTCATACTCAAAATTACAATTTGAGGGGAAAAAAAGATTAATTACTATTTGTGGCCTGCAATTTCATGAGGCTAGTGCACTGCAGCTGTAGAATGATAGTGCTCTACATCAGTTTGTAGTCAGCCATTCACAGATTATTAAAGCTTTGCAAGATTAAGTGCTCCTCCTGCCTAGTTTGCGCTCAGGCAATATGCTCGAGAAAAAAGGACCACAGGGATAAATCTGAGACTTGCAATAGCTGGACATATGTCATCATTGCCAGTTTCCCATAAATCCTTAAGACTGTACAGAAAGTGGTTCATGATGCAGACATCACATCATGACTGCGATGATTGCTCTATATGGCCCAAAGACCTACAACCATGCTACTCTACTGGTTCATTCATAATGTATCGACCAAACCTGAAATTTGGCTTTATTAATTATTGCCAGTGTAAGTCAAGAAAACTGAGCAGGTGGGACTAAAATTTATTTGTTCCTTCCAGGGCTTAAATGGTAGAAAAGTCTCATAAAACATAAGAGATTGTTTGGTTTGCTTCCTTCTAATGTGTCGTTGCCTTTTGTGGTTTAG